CGATTTCGAGTGCTCTCGGAGCCCTCTCCTCCACCCCCCCAAGAGGCCAACGTCCTTCAAACACCTCATGACCATCAATGCTGTTTGCCTTCTCGCGTTTTCGCTTCCGATGCGCTTTTGAGGCCTCGAGAATGTCTCAAGGTGGTTCAGGAGAGCCCCAAGAGGGGCCCAAGAGGTCCCCGACACGGCCCTAAGAGTGCCCGAGATCGGCGCAAGAGTGTCCCTAAGAGTCACGATTTTGAAGGCCCCACGAGGCCCTCCAGGGCTACCACGGGGCCCCCAAGAGGGCTAGAGGGCCCCCAAGACCCTCCCAAAGAGCCACAAGCGGACCCCACGATCCCCTAAAGGTGCCCCAACAGAACTCCAAGATGCGATTTGAGGGCTCTGTCCTCGTCCTCGTTGTCCTCCTCGTCCTCCTCCTCGTCCTTGCCCTCAGTGCCTTCATGCTCCTTTTGTTCCTGTTCCTCCTCGTCGTGGTCGTCGTCGTCTCCCTCCTCTGCCTCATTCCCTCGCCCCCGCGCGGGCCCAAGGATGACTCGAAGAGGCCCTCCAAAGCCACCCCCTTGCTCCCAGAGATCTCTCTGTTCACTCTGGCTGTCCGCTCTGTTTCCCTATAAATGTCTCGTCGTCTCTTTTGCCCGTCAGCTCTTATTGGCATGGTTTCTGAATGGGCTGGTGGGGATACTGTTTTGTTCGCAACCGCAAGCGGGCAGCCGCGCGGCGTTAAAGGCTGGTGGGGATACACGAAGCAGAACGAATTTGTCATATTCAATTGCTTTGATTGCCTTGTGATCACCTCGATCTAGCAGGCGTGGCCCTCGGGCTCCCCAGGGAGGAGCCGGCCATGGGGGTATGACGCTTGCCCCTCTGTGGCCAGATTGTGGGGACGTCGCAGGCTGTTTGCGTGTGGTTGAGCAGACGCCCGTGTTGCGAGTCCACAGATCACTGCGATCTGGCAGGCGTGGCAGTGGCGCAGCCTGAGGAGCCGCCAGGGATCACAAGACTTGCCCGTCCTCGGCCAGATCGTAGGAATCTCTCAGGCGGCCTGCGTGTTTGGTTGAACAGACTCATCTCACCAACGGCCACCACGACACAGCACGCGTGGCGTTCAGGTGCCCCAAGAGGGGCCCCGCCAGAGAGGATGGCACTGGCTCGTTCGCGGCCAGCTTGTGGGGACATCTTTGCGCCTGTGGCCGATCAGGCCCATCTCTTCCGAGAGCCCCTGTGGTCACCGCGATATAGCACGCGTGACAGTTGGGCGCCCAGGGGTGGAGCCGCCAAGAAATATGGCACTTGGCAGTTCGCTATCAGATTGTGGGGATGTCTCAGGCGGTTTATCTCTGCTGAGAGCCTCATGCTCATCGCGATATAGCAGGTGTGGCACTTGGGCAGCCCAAATGTGGCGGCACCCAGGGGGTATGACATTTGCCCGTTCGCGGCCACCCCGACGCACCCATACTCATATTACTCGCACTGAGACCGCGCGCGCTCAGATCCACTGTCACTCAGACCCCCGATACTCAGACTCACTCACACTCAGACTCGACCACGCTCAGACGCACTCGCACTCAGACCCGCTGACACTCAGACTCGACCACGCTCAGACCACTCACGTTCAGAGCCGGAGCACTTGGGCACCCCACGGTTGGTCCGCCAGGGGACACGACACGTGCCCGTTCGCGCGCAGATGGCGGGGATGTTTCGGGCGGGTGGAGCCGCCAGGGAGCGCTCCGTGGCCACGAGCTCAGATTCGGCCCCCCCGGACACTCGCAGCGGGCCGTGCCAGGCAACGAGGTGCACCCATGGGGACCTGCGCGCCGCATCGTCCACTTCACGACGTTGACGCCCAAAGTCTGGACCCCTTCCCCGAGATCGGTTCTTCATCCCGAGCAGTTCTTCGAGGGCCCCGGGCCCCTGGAAGCATCGAGCGGCTGGAGGGCCCCCGGAGGCTCGGGTCGGGCGAACGGGGGGATAGCAAAGGGGGGGGTAGAGAATCAGCTTACATTAGCTGATTTTCCCGGCGCCTCCCGGCGCCGGCGGCGCCCATGTATCGAGGAATGGGCCCGGCGGCGGGGCCGAAACCAGCTGCATGCAGCAGATTTCGTACCCCCCCCTTTCCCAATCCCCCCCTCTCGTCCAGCCCGACTGGAGGGCCCCACGAGGCACAGAGCGGCTGGAGGCCTACCGTCGCCCTTCCTGCCACGACGGCACGGCGGCCGGGAGCGGCCGGGGGGAGGGGGGGCGGCGTGGCCTCTCGCGGGCGCCTCCTCCTCCTCCCTCCTCCTCCTCCTCCTCCTCCTCCTCCTCCTCTCCTCCTCCTCCTCCTCCTCCTCCTCTTCCTCCTCCTCCTCCTCCTCCTCCTCCTCCTCCTCCTCCTCCTCCTCCTCCTCCTCCCCGAGCTCCGCCCGCAGAGCGCGGCCACTCAGAAAAAGGGGGGGGTCCACTTCGGGGATGCGGCACACCAGGGCGGGGGGGGCAGTCCACCCGCATGGTAAGGGTG